CTTACATTTATATGCCAGAAACAGATACAAGACCCACAAGGTAGGTACCTTTTGCTACAGGGCTCCCTCCAGGGTGCCCTAGTAACTATCTTGACCTACTATACCCGGCATATTACCAACATCCCCTTTTTGTTTCACTTTCTGGAAGTTTTGACCTCTTGTGCTAATGAACCTATTTTTACTCTGTGGTGATTCTAAACAATTTTTTTGCTGGCTGATAGCTAAAAAGAGTGGGAAATTCGAAAATGTTTTACTTTTGACTGCTGGTGATTGCTGGTGCTTGTAGTTGTTCTGGTCTCTTCTTTGGGTCTTGCTAAAAGCTTTTACTTTTTTAAATCCCTTTTTCTGTCACTTTTTAAATAGCATTTTTTTTTTACTTCCTTTCCTTGTCTTCCTTCAGTCTGCTAATGAAGGGGAGGGGTTAATTGGTCACATGTGATACAGGTCCTATATAACTTGCTGTAGAGCTCACTCTGAGCTTGCTCATTTTTAGCTTGCCTGTATTTTGCTTGCCGAACCTTTGACCAAGTGGACATTTGATAAGTGGAGTTAAAAAACTGGAGTGGAAAATTGGAGATAACAGAATTCTACTAACCTGTAAGTGATACCGCTGCGACAGATGTGAGCAGGTTGCCCTTCTGGAAACTCACATTAGAGATCTGGAGGAGCAAGTTGCAACACTGGGCAGAACTGACAACATTGAAAGGGGTCTTCTGATCTCTGAGCAGGTAGCTAATGGGATTGATGTGGAGGGCGGAGGGGCTAATCAGGATTATCAGGTAGGAAGATGGGTTACTGTAACAAGAGGGAGTGGTAGGGGCTCACATAAAAGGAAGGCTGACCCTAGGTTTGTGCACCCAAACAGATTTGCCAAGTTGGGAGAAGATATGAGGGTGGCAAGCTCAGGGGTGGCAGCCCTGGATGTCACTACTATCCCTAACAGCCGGGAGGGCAGACCATCTGGGAGGGGTGGTGAGGGTAGTGCAGGAAGGCCTAGACAGCTGGTCAAAGTAGGGGATTCTATAATCAGAAGGACTGATAGAATAATTTGTCACCAGGATCGCCTCAACCGAATAGTTTGCTGTCTCCCTGGTGCCAGGGTTCGGTATGTGGTGGACCAGGTTGATAAATTACTGGAAGGGGCTGGGAATGACCCAGCTGTCTTGGTTCATGTTAGAACCAATGACAGAATACATGGAAGGTGGAGGCTCCTTAAGAATCAATTTAAAGAACTAGGCTGCAAGTTGAAGGGAAGGACCTCCAAGGTGATATTCTCTGAAATATTACCTGTGTTATGCGCAACTCAGGAAATTCGGGGAGATTAGACAACTCAATGCATGGCTAAAGACCTGGTGTAAGAGGGAAGGATTTGGATTTATAGACCAATGGGCTGACTTTTCATTGGGGTGCAACCTATATGATAGAGATGGTCTGCACCTAAATGGAAGGGGGTCTGCTGTGCTAGGGGAGAGGTTTATGGGAAGGCTGGAGGAGTATTTAAAGTAGGATAGAGGGTGGAGGGATAATTAGATTATAACAGGGTAGACAGATCAGACAGGGGTCAGCACTTATTGGTGGGTGGAATGGGGAAAGATGGGCGGAGGGATATGGCAGATGATAAGAAGATTCCCATGTTACAAACAACCAGTGGAATTGGTACCATTTGTATGAAAATAAAAAATATGCAAAATGCGTGTGAATAAGGTGTCAATGAAATAAAGTGTTTGTTCACCAATGCCAGAAGTCTGACAAGCACGATAGGTGAGTTGGAAGCTTTGGTGCATGAAGATAACTATGATTTAATTGGTATTGCTGAATCTTGGCTTCATTCTTCACATGACTGGCCCATTAATATTCCTGGCTATGTTCTCTTTCAGAGAGACAGAGTAAATAGGAAAGGTGGGTGGTGTCTGTCTCTATGTGAGAAGTGATTTCAGAGAAAGTGTGAAAGAGGATGGAGTTGATGGAGAGTGTGATGAGGCTGAAGTATTATGGGTGGAACTGCACATGGGGGTGCGTACATAATCATTGGAGTTTGTTATAGGCCTCCCAGCGTTAATGAGGAGGTGGAAACTTAGCTCCTTGCACAGATCGAAAGGGCTGCAAGGGCTGGGACCGTGATAATAATGGGGGATTTTAACTACCTGGAAATTGACTGGAGTAATGGTACTGCAGGAATAGTTAAAGGGCAAAAATTTTTAAACCTACTACAGGACAATTTTATGGTACAGTTCATAGACACCCCTACTAGGAATGATGCTCTGCTGGATCTGGTAATCGCAAACCATGCAGAGCTTATTACAAATGTCCATATAAAAGAACATCTGGGTAGCAGTGACCATAACATGATTTCATTTATTTTTAGCTGTAAACAGCAAGCACATACAGGAAAAATTAAAATGCTCAATTTAAAGAGAGCTAATTTTCCAAGGCTGAGAGCTGCTCTCCAAGACTTAGACTGGAAGGGAATATTGGCATCAACACAGAAATGGGAGTTCTTCAAAAAGACTGTATATTAATAGTAAAAAGGTCCGGTCTGAGCAAAATAATCTAGAGTGGGTCACGGGACAAAGAGAAGGCAAATTTATTAAATACCTTCTTCAGTGCTGTGTATACAAAGGAGCATGGGGGAGCTCTTGTCCATAATGGGAATGGTATTGACACAGCTCCAGATGATCCACATTGGCTCACAATTGATATGATCCAAAAATATTTAGACAGAATAAAGGTGAATAAAGCACCTGAACCGGAAGGAATACACCCATGGGTCCTTAAAGAATTGAGCTCTGTCATTTCAAAGCCGTTGTTTCTAATTTTTAGGGACTATTTAACCAATTCAATCCCGGGCAATTTTACACCTTCCTGCCCAGGCCATTTTTCAGGTTTCAGCACTCTCACACTTTGAATGACAATTGCACGGTCATGCAACATTGTACCCAAACTAAAATGTTATCATTTTCTTCACACAATTAGAGCTTTCTTTTGGTGGTATTTAATCATCGCTGGGGTTTTTATTTTTTGCTAAATTAACAAAAAAGACCAAAAATTTTGAAAAAAAACCCACATTTTTCGTTGTTTCTGTTATAAAAGTTTGCAAATAAATAATTGTTCTTCATAAATTTAGGCCGAGATGTATTCTGCTACATGTCTTTGGTAAAAATAACCCAAATTAGGATGTATTATTTTAGTTTGTAGGAAGGTTATAGAGTTCACAAACTATGGTATAGATCTGAATATTGATCAATCCTGAAGTACTGACAGCCAATCTAATTTCTTGAGGTCCAAGAATGTCAGAATAGTACAGATATCCCCAAATGACCACTTTTTGCAAAGTAGACAGTCCGACATACTTCATAAGAGGCATGGTGAGTTTTTTTAATTTGTATTTTTTTTGTCATAATTTTTCGGAAAATGAAAAAAAACAAACATTATTTTCACTATTTTTTTTTTTACATACTGTCACCATTGCATTACAGCATCATCATATAACTGGCATGGCGGTGATCAGGGACACTGACTGGTGACAGGTTTTTTTTTTTATTTTAAATTTTTTATTACATTTTTTAAATGTTTTTTTTTTATTTTTTTTTTCATATTTCACTATGTCCAAAGTAGTACAATGTTACCATAGTAACATTGTACTACTTTGGGGAAGTGATCAGTATTTGTTTTTTTTTTTTCTTTACACAATTTGCTTATAGCAAAGAATTACTTTGCTATAAGCAAGCATTTACCTGAATGACATTGATTCATTCAGGGTTTTTTTTTTTTTGTGCTTAGCTGTGATTTGGCCACAGCTAATCACATGACATGTGCATGTGATTAGCTGTGACCATTCACAAGCTGGACATTAGTATACAATGGATGGCATGAATGAAGCCATCCATTGTATACAACTGTCATGTGACCTGCTGTGATTGGTCACAGCAGGTCACATGGTACGGCAACGGGGGCCGGTACTCAGATCTGTCATCGGCTGTGTCCGAGGTACACGGCCGGTGACAGATCGCACCACGGCGCGGCTCTGCAAGTGCGCAAACTGCGCATGTGCGGAAGGATGCCATATGGCGGCCTCCCGGAAAGCTAATACATTTTTACGGACGCCATTCGGTCATAGGCCGGGCGTCAAATGGTTAATGACTAGTATAGTACCACTGGATTGGCGTAAGGCCGACGTGGTGCCAATATTTAAAAATGGGTCAAAATCTTTACCAAGTAATTTTAGACCTGTTAGTTTAACTTTTATAGTTGGGAAGATACTGGAGAGTTTAATAAAAGACCACAATTTTGCTGGAAAAAAATATTTTAATCAGCAGACAACATGGATTCATGAAGGACAGAAGTTGTCAAACAAATCTGATTTCTTTTTATGAGGAGGTGAGCAAAACCTTGGACAGAGGGGTGGCAGTGAACGTGGTAAACTTGGATTTTGCAAAAGCGTGACAAAGTGTGTAAGGTAATGTCTACAGCAGTGGTTCTCAACCTTCCTAGTGCCGCAACCCTTTAATACAGTTCCTCATGTTGTGGTGACCCCCAACCATAAATGTATTTTCGTTGCTACTTCATAACTTTAATTTTGCAGTGGGGGGAGTAGTGCCACATCATTGGTGTCAGTGGGAGGAGTAGTGCCGCATCACTGATGTCAGTGGGAGGAATAGTGTCCCATCTTTGGTATCAGTGGAAGGAATAGTGTCCCATCAATGGTATCAGTGGGAGGAATAGTGCCCCATCGTTGGTATCAGTGGGAGGAATAGTGCCCCATCGTTGGTATCAGTGGGAGGAATAGCGCCCCATCGTTGGTATCAGTGGGAGGAATAGTGTCCCATCATTGGTGTCAGTGTGGGAGGAATAGTGCCCCACCATTGGTGTCAGTGGGGGGGGGATAGTGCCCCATCATTGATGTCAGTGTGGGGGGGGGAATAGTGCCCTATCATTGGTGTCAGTGGGAGGAATAGTGCCCCATCATTGGTATTAGTGACACCAATGATGGGGCACTATTCCTCCCACTGACACCAATGATACTTACCTTGCTGACCCATGCTCCAGCCTGGGCTCGCTCCCTCCCTCTCCCATCTACAGCCAACATACCTGGCTGCAGCAGGACCATCTACACGGTACAGACACTTACCAGTCAGCTGTCTTCTTCCTTCTCCGGCCGCTCTCCTCTTCACTTGCTCCGGCAGCTCCCTCACTCGATCTTCTTTGATCCTCGCACTGCTGCTCGGCTCCTCCTCTCCAAGCTCCACCTCCTCGCCGGTGACTGGCCGCCTGTGTGCCTCTCCTGAGCTACAGTTCCGGTGGCCAATCACCGTCGAGGAAGCGGAGCTGTTGAGTGATCCCGGGGGTGTGGCCAGATGACAGGGGCGGCATGTCATCCCGCCCACACATCGCGGTCCAGGCAAATGTGGGCGTATCTGCATGTGAGCGGACCCGCCTGGAGACAGATAAAGGAGTGGTGTTTCGGTCCCTAAGACCATAGAAAAAAAGGGTTTTCCGATGGTCTTAGGCGACCCCTGTGAAAGGGTAGTTCTACAGGTCTACAGGCTTGGAAAAATAAGTATGTAAATGGATAGAAAACAGGCTAATAGATCATATTCAGAGAGTACTGATTAATGATTGAATGGTCTAGGGTTGTCAGTGGTGTATCCCAAGATAAAGTTTTGCGACCCTTACTTTTTAATATACTTATGAACGATTTAGGGTCAGGGATTATAAATCCCATTTCAGTCTTTGCAGATGACACCAAGCTGTGCAGTGGAATAATGTCCTTACATTGGGCAACTATGTGGCAAATGAGGTTTAATGTTGATAAATGTAAGGTTATGCACTTGGGGGCTAAGAATATGAATGCATCATACATACTAGGGGGAGCACAACTGGGGCAATCAATGGTGGAGAAGGATCTGGGAGTTCTGGTAGATCACAAGCTTAATAATGGCATGCAATGCCAAGCTGCGGTTTCTAAAGCGAGCAAAATCCTCTCTTGTATTAATTGAGGTATAGACTCCAGAGAGAGAGATATCATTTTACCCCTGTACAAATCATTAGTAAGACCTCATCTGGAATATGCAGTTTAATTTTGGGCACCAATTCACAAAAAGAACATTGGGGAAGTGGAGAAAGTACAGATAAGGGCAACCAAACTGATAAGAGGCATGGAGGAGTTCAGCTACGAGGAAAGATTAAAGAAACTGAATTTATCACTCTGAGGTCATCACAGAGGACAAGGGGGCACTCTTTACATCTGAAGGAAAATAAATTTAATCTCCAAACATGGAAAGGTTTCTTCACAGTAAGAGCTGTGAAAATATGGAATAGACTGCCTCAAGAGTCGTTTCTTGCAAGCTCAGTGAATTGCTTTAAAAAAGGCCTGGATTCTTTCTTGGATACACAGAATATAACTGGATACTAACATTTATAACTAATGTTGAGCCAGGCAATATCCGATTGCCTCTCAGGGGATCAGGAAGGAATTTTTTACCCTGCAGGAGCAAATTGGTTCATGCTTTGCTGGGTTTTTTACCTTCCTCTGGAGCAACTGTGGGTGTAGGATTATAACTTTTTTTTTTTTTTAAAGGTTGAACTGGATGGGCTTTTGTCTTTTTTCAGCCAGACTGACTATGTAATACCAAAACCCCTCTATTACTTTAGAGTTGTGCCTATACAGATATTGAACCACATTGTAAGGATTGAACAGCACAATCTACATTTTATTTGGCACTGTCAACAGCCTAGGCCCCCGTCCTGGTCCTACACTGCTGCAGATTGGTGGGTGACTTGGCTGTACCCAACCTCGAACTTTACTGTACAGCTGCACAAATTGCCCCTCTAGTGTCCCTCCATACCACCACTGAAATGTCCATATGGGTACATCTGTTAATAACCAAGTGTCCTTTCCCTGGACTGGACCCGTCTTTGGTGCACTCCTTACGGCAATGGAACTAAATATACTGTAACAGTCAACTTCTCTTACCCCTTTTGCCCTTTTCGAGCATTCTAGATAATGCCCACTTCACTGTAGCCCATGAAAACTCCATGGCTTTCAACTTGTGGTGCAAGAGAGGGACCAAGTTTTTCTATGAACTCCTTGCCCTAGATTTCATCAAATCTTTTCAATACTTCCAGGAACATAGGATACTACCTGCCAATGAGGCCTTCAGACATGCCCAAATTAACCACCATGTCAGCTGCCTCCTTAGATGTCACATGGGACCCCATAAGCTCCTAAACCCATTTGAGAATCGCAGCCACAAATACCTCATTTAAAGGGTCTGGTTTCTAATCTTTACACTTCTCTCCTTGATTCCCTGAACCCAGTAAACTTCCTTATGTCTAAAAATGGGAAAAAGACCTTGTCATCACTCATGAAGACCCTACGTGGCAAAAACTCTGGCTTACTGTCTCCAAACAACACCAAAGACACATTTGCTGCCATTGTGCTATAAGCTCGGTGTCCCATGCACCCCTGTGACTTTAAGGAGGAGTGGGCTCCCTCCAGCCTTACATGCTATGGAGGCTCTCAAAAATTATAGAGTTAGGAAATGCAGATAATACTGGAGTGCCATGAAGAGGCTCTGCAGCTTATGCATGTACCGTATTTGCAAAGGTGTGCAAACTAAACCCTGTTTTTAAAGTGAACTGTTAGGATAATTCGGTTGGTTGCAGAGTGGTTGGTAAGTTGAGCTTGGAATTTTTCTTTGTTGTTGTTTGACATGAATCACCCTTCCATGTGCTCCTTGCTGCAAAGGCCAGTTATAGGTTGCAGCAGCTGTCATTTGTTTTTACTGCCTCCAAATCCTGGCCCAAGAGAATGCCTACAAATTTCATCGAGGAGCAACAGTGGCTCATGTGGACTATGGTCTATGAGAAGTTCACTTCCATCCTCCACACACTCATGCCAAATTTTTTGAAGATCAGGATTTCTTATAAAGCTCATATGAACAGTGACTGTACCCTACCTTCTGTATGAAGATTACTGCCACCTACATCTGCCACAGGTGGTCCACAAAGTACTACTGGCCGCTCTCTTTTCCCTTCCCCTCTTCCACCCTCTCCTTTCCACCCCAGGCAGGTACCCTTTCCAGTTTTCCCTTTTATCCCTGGTTCTCCTCTCCCCCCCCCTTACTGTTGTCTACGTCTGCTTCTTCTCTTCTTTCTATTCTAGAGTTTCTTCTTTGCCCTGATTGGCACTCCTCTGCCTTCCTTCCCACATAGGAATTCCTATCCGCTGACACTAAGCACTCCCCTATGGGATAACTAGTACCCCCTTCTCTGGTGCTGTTAATGATGCCCTTAGTGTCCTGATGACTGTAGTACATTTTCTTAAGTTTGTTACTGTACTTCTGCTTGCTCAAATATTCCTGCCTCTCTTTACTATTCTATTTTGTGCATTACATTTATGTTTCTTGCATTGACTGTAAAAATTTCAAAACTTAAAAAAAAATGTTATGAAACACAAAACATACTGTTCGACAACCCTGGATATTCAGTCCAGTTTGCAACAGGGAGATCAAGTCAACCAACACACCTAGGAGGGAAGGGAGAGGACAAAGTTTTATACCATTTCTTCTACACAGAACTTGGTATTTTCATAGTTTAGAAGAAGTTTGATAAGTAATGACTTTTTCCAAGTCACTACTGTGATGAGCTGCATCAGGATTTTCTTGTGTGTTGCATACTTCTCAGTAAAAAATTTTTTTTTACATTTAATTTTGCTAGTTATTCTACATATGCTCCTTCTGTACATTCTCCTTACAAAGGCTAACAGCTGCAGGCGTGACCAGGGATCCCGTAAAGATTGCTGCAATTGAGACAGGAGGATATACTGTAGGATATCAGATGTGGCAAACCATTTAAACAATTACTTATGTTCAGTCTTCTCAGAAATAAATCGTACTAACAATAACATGTTGGGAGATCGAATTTGTTCTAGTAATGATGGTTTATTTTCAGGATTTCTAGAGACAGAGGTAGCAGAGGAACGGTTTGGTTAAAGCTCAATAAAGCAATGGGCTCTGATGCTAATGGTATTCATTCCAGAGTTCCAAGAGAACTTCAGGATTTGGTTGTGGGACCATTAACAGATTTTTTTTTTATCAATTTCTTGTAACAGGAGATGTTCTCCATGACTGGCAGACAGTTAATAATGTACATTTTCCATCATAAGGTTGCAAGGTAGGAAGCTGGCAATTACAGGCTAGTGAGTTTAACATCTGTTGCAGTCAAATTAACAGAATCATAACCGAGTTTCAGAATAGCAGATATGACCCCCATACCTTATCCAACAGAGGGGTTCTTTGGTTAATACATTTCTCCGCAAAAAATCTTATGACAAATCGAGAGATAGAGACAGTGGCGGAACTACCAGGGTCGCAAAGGTTGCAATTGTGACCAGGCCCTGGCATTCCGCCACTGGGGGGGCGAAGACTGCCAAATGGTGCTTGGGTTCTGGACAGTGCAGTGACATTTGTACAAAGGAGGGGAGTAAGTAAGCATACAGCAGCACTCTGCACACAACATTTGAGGTGCCGGACTCTGGACACTGGCCTGAAGTGGACATCTCTTCCTCAGCTCTCCATCACCAAGCATGGCTGGATCTAGGGTGGTGCTGTGGTGGGCTGTGCCCCCCCCCCCCCAGGCAACTCCCCCACCCCCACCAGGAGGACTGGCTGCAGCAAAGGACTTGAAAGCAAATTGTCTGTGAAACTGTCCCACAGCCCAGCCAGCAAACTCCCCCCGCCAGCACAGACAAGAGAAGAGAGAAACCTGATTCTGATGTAAGGGGGGCACTCCGTCAGATTCTGATGTAAGGGGGCACTCCGCCAGATTCTGATGTAAGGGGGCACTCCGAAGGATTCTGATGTAAGGGGGCACTCCGCCGGATTCTGATGTAAGGGGGCACTCCACTGGATTATGATGTAAGGGGGCACTCCACTGAACTGTGATGTAAGGAGGCACTCCACTGAACTGTGATGTAAGGAGGCACTCCTCTGAACTGTGATGTAAGGAGGCACTCTGCCACATTCTGATGTAAAGAGGCACTCTGCCTGTAAGGAAACACAATGCTGGATTCTGATGTAAAGGGGCACTCTGCTGAACTCTGATGTAGGGGGGAACTCTGCCAGATTCTGATGTAAGGGGGCACTCCACTGGACTCTAATGTAGGAGGGCACTCTGCTGGAATCTGATATAGGGGGGCACTCCCCTGAATTCCGATGTAAGGGGCACTCTGCTGAACTGTGATGTAAGGGGGTACTCCACTGGATTATGATGTAAGGGGACACTACACTAGATTCTGATGTAAAAGGGCACTCTGCCAGATTCTGATACAAGGGACCACTCCACTGGATTCTGACTT